CAGGAACGTGCAGGAAGAAGAAGAAGTGGAGGCAACAGAGAAGGGAGCTAAACCCAGCACCGGATTCCTCCCTTTGTCTGTGATGCAGACCAGGGATTGGCAACCGCTGTGTCACAAGCATTTTAAAACATGCAATACCTGACTATTTAGTCAGGGCACGGCCTCTTTTCTCTTAGATTGTAAACAATATGGCAACAGCCAGCACAACAATAGTCGTCCTGTGTGAATGAATAAAAATTACACCTATTTTGTTTTGGTCAGGTTGGCAAAAAATTTAATGTATTTTTTTGTGTGCCACAGAATTTTAGTAATTAGTTTATGTGCCACGCGATGAAAAAGGTTGAAAACGCCGATGTAGACGCCACCTGCCTGTTAGTCACGTAGTAGCCGTCGTGGTTATCGGAGAAAGAGAGACTAATTTACATAAGTTATAATTGTCCTATTTTACCTTCAGTTATGGTTGTTCATCTCTTCCTGGGCCTAATCCATAAATTAAACTTTGTTATGTATTGGAAAACACAGACTCTATAGGGCTCAGTACAATCTGCAGTTCCAGGCACCCACTGGGGCCTTGGACCATGTTCCGTGGATAAGGGGGCGACTGTAGAATACAGTGCACACGTTATAATGCTGTTGTCACCAGGAACCAATACTTTCATTGTAAGAGACAAAGACATGAAAAATCTACCTTGCCTCTGTGATGAAACCTCCATAAAACTTCCGGAAGTACCAGGTTTAGAGAGCGTCTGGATGGGGGACGCATCCACCTGCTGGAGGGTGGCACCTCCCAACCCCACAGGAACAGAAGCTCCGGGGTCCCTTCTGGGGTCCCTGTACTTCCTCATCGGGCTCTCCCCTTGTACCCTTCATCATGTCTTTATGTAACACACTGCTACATGTAAGGAAGGTGTCCCTGAGTTCTGTGAGCCGTCATAGCGAATTATGGAATCTGAGAAGGGGGTGTGGGAACCCCTGCTTAGAGCTGGTCAGTCAGAAGTACAGGTGACACCCCAGGACTTGGGACTGGCGTCTGACGTGGGGGCAGTCTTGTGGGACGGAGCCCTGACCCCACAGGATCTGATGCTGAATCAGATCTTACATAAAAACTGCTGTTTGAAAGTTTAACCCTGCTATTCTGGCTTCTGTAAACGCTTGCTTGCTTGAATAATAAGGAAAATAAGACTACTCCCATCCAGAGAGGCCATCAACTCTGTCCCAGACAGAGTCGTCAGTGCTGGCACCAGGCCAGGCCTTGAGATAGGGTCACATGGCCCCTTCCCAGCACACAGGCCTTCTTTCTCAGGAGGTCCGGAAGTCTCGCTCCAAATTTGGGAGACAAAGAACTAGAAACAGTATAAATAGGGAAGGTTTCCTCCATATTGGGGGGTCAGAATTTGAAAGACACATTTTTCTCTGGGCCCGCGTATAATTATAATAACATGTAACTCCGCTTTCTCTAAGCGTCGCTTGGTTTTTCTCTGGTCTTCTGTAACTGCTATCTTCAAGGAAGACAGTCCAGAGCTGAACTGGACTGCAGGACTCCCAGCTGGTGCCTGCAGAGCTGGAGGATTGGTTGGTGTGGGAAAAGCCCCTCCCCCCCCCCCCCGCCCGACACACACACACACATTTGGCGTCAGCAGTACTTTGTGTGTAAAGGACAAGAGTTCTCCTCTTTGAGACACCTTGCCCAAGGCCACACAGCGGGCAAGTGGCTGAGCCGGGATTTGAACCATTATCTTCTGCTGGCCCCACTTAGAGGGGAAGTGAGGTGGGCTTTGGGGCTCCCCGGGGTCTCCGTCTTCCTCCAGGGATTCCACCATTCGCCTCTTGGCTCCTTCGCGGCACCCAGCACTAGGCTGGCACTCAATCCCTGCTCAGGGAATATTTGTCAAATGACAGTGTGGTAATTCCTCCTCGTGACTCGGGCTCTGCCCACGAGGAGGTGCCAGGGGCAGGGTGTGGGTGAGAGCAGGTGTTCTCCTCTCTGACAGCCTCCCACCTGGGGCAGGGCTCTCCCGGGACCTTTGTTCTGTCTGCTGTTGGGGCCTTACCTGGAGTTTTACATCGGAAACATTTGAACTTGGCCTTCAGCTCAGGTGTTTTCAGAAGACCCTTTAAGGCAGGGTTAGGGGAGACCCTCCCCCGAGAAGGGAAGGCATGCTGAGCAGTGAGGAACCAGGGGTCTAGGCTGACGGTCTAGAGCCCAGGCTGAGGTCTGTCCAGGCCAGGCTTGCAGATAGACAATGGGGCTTGGCAGCGGGTGATGATGATGTCCCTGCCCCTGTATGGACACAGCCTTCAGGAGCCCCGAGGGACCTTCACGAGCCCCGAGGGGCCTCCCGAGCCAACATGCTCGGTTCACAAGCACCCCGGCTGGCACTGCGCCCCCACCCCTGGCCTGGCAGCTCCTGCAGCCCCAGGACTTTGGGACTCATTTCTCAGATCTGCAGATCTGACCTATGCCAGAAGGCCAGGCCCGGCCTTCATCTCCACTGTGTTTGGCCTATGCTTGCCCACAGCCAGCCAGCAGGAAATACTGGCCCTCCAAGCAGTGCCTTGTGCGGGCGGCTTCTCTCACCCCAGGCAGTTTGCTTCTGCCCCTTGCCGGCTCCTGGGCGATTGTTACTGTCTCCTGTCTGCTGCTCCCACTGCTTGCGGTCTCTCGTAGACTGTCCGCAGGCCTTGGCAGGCCTGTTCCTCCTCCTCCTCTGAGCTCTCTTCTCCCCTGGGAGTCCCTGGACTCACTTTCTCCTTGTGTGGGTC